CAAGAGAGACGGAGAGAGAGAGGGTGTGTGGTGTGTCTATGTAAATGTCAAATTATCCGCATTTTCAAATTAAATCCACATTTTATATACTAACTACAAAGTGAGTTTATTATCAATATTATCATCATCATCACAGTACGCATAGATCGATAAAATAGTCATTAATTATCCAATTATACCAATTTAATTTTTGTTATCTCTCTTTCCCCCCACACCTCTCTCTCTCTCTCGCTCGCGCGCGCGCTCTCTGTATTGCTGCTTATCTCTTTCTCATGAAATTAAAATACAAGTGGTGGAGAACACTGATCGATAGATAGAATTATCAAATGTAACATTGTTGTATCATAGGGAGAGAGAGATGGAGAGTGAGAAGCCGGAGAGGCAGAGAGATCATTTCGAAGGGCATAATCCTCAGGCATAAACACCAATTTAGAAAAAAAATAAAACTGAAGCGAAAAGATAGAGGAAGTTAACTTTGAGATAACGTGAATGGGCGAATAATCAATTTGATTGAGAGAGCGATAGAGAGTGAGTGAGAGATGGTCACCGCTTCATTCGACTGTCCATTCAAGCTTGCAGTATCTCGGATTAATTAGTTAACATTTATCATCAACTCGTTGAATTATTAATTGATTAATTAATCAATTAATTAATTAGTTTATTCGTTTGACGAGTGAAATAAATTACTGATTAACTAACTAATTAATTAATTATCTGACTGACTGACTGGCTGAATAGATCTAAATCGACTAATTGATTACTTAATTTGTATGAAATAGAGAGATAATAAATAGGAAATTAGATATTCAATGAGATTTATGTCTATTACTCGTGGTTTATAAGACTTAGGCTGCCAAATACTAAAACTGTTAGGCCTTAGGTGTTTTTCCTAGTAAATCAATTATAGGATTTCATCATGAGCTGACATCGGTTAGAGAACCATTGGAAAACCTGCAGGGAGTACTGGACAGCTGTTTCGTCAGCCTAGTTTAGGACTCTCCAACAGTAGGCACCGACCACAGGGATTTCGAACCCACGACCTTCTGGTTACAAGGCTAGAGAGCTCGTAGACCATTCACCCACCGGGACCCGATCCAATGGCCAGTACATGAATTCCAACTTCTCCCAATGCATGACATAGCGCAACGACTAGCCATTGTCTTTGGCGAGCATTTGTCCTCACACCCGACCTGATGCACCCTACTGGTCATGACTTCCTACTAGAACCCAGTTAACTACCTACCTGAATAGGTCCAGTTGCTAGTGAGTATCTCAATGATATTCAAGTATCGGTTTGTAGGGATTTGATTGATTGATTGATCGCATGATTTCATCATGAACTGACATCGGTGGGTGCGTACTGATGAAAAGTCTCAAACTAGGACGAAACGACTGTCCATTACTCCCAGGTTTTCCAATGGTTTTCTAACTGATGTCAGCTCATGATGAAATCCTGCAACCAATCAATAAAACCCCTGCAAACCAATACTTGAAAATCAATTATAGTTATCAATTTGAATTTTGCTTTAGACTGTTGCCTTTCTTTTGTCTACTGAGCCAACTGTGTTTATTCTTTCCTATAAAAACAGAAGTTTCTGGGAGTTTTTTCACATTAGGAGGTTGTATTCCCCTTGTCTTTTTAGATGCAGAAAATAAATTTATTGCTCTATATTTGTAATCATTGGCGAATTTGTTTTGCTTAGCCACCGCATCACTGTAAGATTCGCAAACAGGCAACTAAACGCTTCGCAGGTACAAATATTAGTAATACAGACCACTAGTAGTCAGATAGTGACTATGGTAACGTTGTGAAAATCAGGACAGGAACACCTGGTTTCAGGCCATCAGATGCTAAGTGAAAACATATCGCATTTTTCCAAAAACTTACAAATTTTTACTTAAGTATTCTTCTTTCCGAGAAATATTTCATTTTTGTCATTTCTTGCTTGGTGTGCCAGTCTTTACTAAGCCGAAGATGGAGGGAGAGTTCGCTATGGGGATTACAGCCTCACTCCGTAGAAAAACAATCCGATTGCCATTGAAATTTCAAAGTACAGAAACAACCAACTCATTTTTTTGCTTGATTCGAGAAGACTGCTCAATTTGAAGGCGGGTAACGCTATCGGGTGAAAACCTTCAGGAAGTCAGTCGACTGACCTTCTTTGAAAGCAGAAGTAAAAATGAGGACATAAAATCCCAAGTAATTTATGAAAAGAAGCCTACCAAAGCTTTTGAACTGAAGACAGGAGTGCGATAAGGCTTCATACTACTATGGAGTATACGTAACGATATGACTGTACACTTTTTGTTAGATGTTGAAATTAGAGACATTGTACATGACTTTTGTTTAAAACGATTCATATTGAAATATAGATTACTTCTGAGTACAATCTAAAATACAGTGTACTGTTGGCCGCTTCGTCTTCTCACTGGTCTATGTTGTCTACTTGCTCCACTCATAACCCTGTTGTATACTTTGGATTTTTGCAGGAACCTCTTAATCTCATCCGAAGACTATTCTACAACCGTTACACAGCTTCTACCAGTAGACACGATTCCAGCAGTGAACGCTTCTGTGGATTATATTAATAATTTGTAGCCGTGGACTTTAACTGTATATTCAAGTAACTGTTTAATTAATAGAATTCACTACTATATTTTCTTTATAATATATTGTTACACTATCATCTCATAAACTTGGATTTTAATTCACATTCTTGATATGTTATTGAGCTCGCTAGACAGTCCCCTACACTACCACCAGCCATCTTGAATGTACTGGGATGGATCATAAGGCTGAACGTGGTGACTTGGAAGATGGACATACATTAAGATGACGACAGACCCTAGTAGACTGGGGTTTTTCAGAAGGTTTATGCCTCATGTCACTCAAATTAGAAGATATACAAGTGGAAAACAACAACTTCGCAGAAGGGGCAGAGAAGACATGACTTCAGGTGGACACTGAGAAAGTAGAGGTGATGATGATACAGAACCAATCACCATCAGTAGAAGAAATCTGAATGAAGTCGTCCCTTTCACTCACCTGAACAGGCAGTATCGTTTCAACTACAGGTGGTGATATGGATAGGACGGTCGAATCCAGCCAACTAGGATCCGGTTGAGAAGTAAGACAGACAGGTGCTGATTATTCTTAATTCTGTGTGGTGGACCTAAACTTAGAGCAAAGAACCGCATCTGAATTTTTAACACTACTTTCAAGCCAATCATTGATTTTGTACGGCTCATATACTTGGTGTGCATCCCACCAGAAGCCTTTCCAACAGTCTACATAAGTTGGTATCAGGGAACTCTGTCAATAAGCGAACTGGCTGAGAATTTACTATCCAACAGATATCCAGAAAGAAATGAATGAGATGGATTAGACATTCGCTAAGGAGACGTTCAAGTGACATCACTCTGTAAACGGGTCCTCAACAGGAACCAGAATAGGAAGTGATGGGTTTGGCCTGGGTCCAAGAGTGACATGGAGGAGGTTATTTCAGGAAGAAGTGAAATTCACGAAGCCTACAAAGCTTTATATCTTGCATGGAATAAATAATCATTATAACTTCATAAAATTCATATTTACACAACTAATGGTTCTGCTAAAATTACAATGGCTCTTTCATGTTTACGGGATTTCTATTCAATCAATATTATTGCAGTTATAAAATAATGAGCTAGCGCCATTAAAACATGGAGTTGTCAGTTATTTCGGGTACTTTTGAACTGTTTGATAAAACTCACAGATTTCGGAGCTGGCATGTTCCTAGATATATATGGTTGTTAATATCGTATTCGGCTTCTTATACCCCATGCACCTTGATCATATCATTTCAACTCTAAACATTTTATTATCTGACCTACGGATTATACTGGATTCCTTGTTAGATTGAGTTACTTTGGCGTTAGTAGCATTGAAAACTACTCTGTTTATCATCTAATAATCCCACCACTAATCAACGGATTGTTTTGCAGAGCAATAAATTGACATCGACTGAAAAGTAGATAAAGAGTGGGACGTAATGAGTAGTTTCCTGTTCATAATCTGAAATTCCTTAGCTGTATAACCACACCTAACACTTTCGAAGATTTTATTCAAAGTATTCAGCTTGGTGTAGAATAACCTAGAAAATCTAATATCAACGTCTCGTAATTCTAAGTGATCGAATGATTATTTTCTTATTAGAATTTTCAGAGATACCAGTACACTTTTAGTATTCTTTTAGACTATATTAGTTTATCAAGAAAACTATACTCAGAATTATTACCTAATGAAGTAGTTGAACAGGTAACTTTCATAAATCAGCCGAAAAATATAATACAAATTAATGTTAGATATCTGGAGGAAATCGTCAGGATGTCTTAGACCTAGGTTTCATGTTACCAAGGTGTGTCTACAGCCTTGAAGGAACAAATGTTCCTTCTGAGGTTCAGTGAGTACTGATACCAAGGACAAGATGCGTGACACCGATTACTCCCCCTAGTGACTAACCAACGTATACACTATTGTTCCGCTGGAGATCAACTGTTTTTGACCCAACTAGCTTAGAACTGGGTGAAACTGAGTTCGAATCTTTGAGGGAATATTAGTTCCTTCAACGTTGAAAATACGCCTTCCTGAAAAAAGGCCAACAAGCTGGAAACTTGGTTCCAGTGCTTCCTATTGATTGCCCCCAACCATCTCATATTAGTTCATCAGAGTTCACCACAATGATGAATCACCTAGTTTGATGACCCCATTACAAACCTGATCGATAGAATTCAGTCAACGCCATCACCAAGGTATAAACGCATGACACTGATTACCTCCTAGCGACTCAATCAAGATTAGCAGGTTTCAGTATCAAAAGCTAAAGACTTAATCATTTCAGGCCATCTTTGTGCCTAACCAGCCAATGAAAAACAAATAAGTAGTAGTAGTATTAGTAGTCATTTTTATTTATTTTTATATATGTAGAAAAACAAAAGAAAATAAAACAAAAAAACGAAAAGCATAAATAAATAAATAAAATCAAAAGAGAAAAGTGTGTAGAGGTAGGAGGGATTCTAGGGGAGTAAGAGTGTGGGGAGGCAGTCAGATAGAGAGATAGACCAATAAACTGTGAACAACAAAACACAAGAATAACAAGTCTAAAATTAAATACATTCGAATTGAAGACCCATCTCTCTCTCTCTGTATTGCACACTCACGCACACAGTGGTGACCACTTACACATGCGTACTTTGTAGACTTGTAGTCATGGAGTCCCTTAACCTCGTCCAGTTTCTGCTTCTGTAACATGCCTGTGTTGTATGCTGTGTCATTCGCCTTTTCGATCTTAGAAAGCCCATTATCACTTAGTGAATTAGTTAGTTAGTTATTCGTTAACCAGCTGTTCATTATCAGAGTACCATACACATAAGAAGCGTAAATAGCCAAATAATAATAATAGTAATAATAATAGTTGTAGTAGTAATAAAAGCACTACCAGACCAGTAAATAAGAGTAAAAATTAAACGAAAGGGAACAAAAACAACCAAAAAAGATAAAATACAGGAGAAGAAGTAGTAATATACAAAAGAAAAATGTAGTCAAGATAATTGTCATCCATTTGGGACAACTATCAAGTTTGTGAATGCCTTCAAAGTGATTAGTTAGTTCCCTTAGTTATTAACAGGTTGATATAGAGATCACTATGCTTTACTTTCTCTAACATTTCAAATGTCTATTGGAAACAACAGCAACAATAAAATAAAAAGACGGAGAAGTTGATAATTATCTCTGAACTGATTGTGATAATTGAGGTAAGTAATCACCATCTTGGAATGTGGCTTTTCGTTCGTTCGTTCGTTTGTTTGTTTCCATCTGAAATGCTTCCTAGACGACTGACAGAAAAGAGGAGAAAAAATAGTGCAAATATTCACAGGGATGACAGTTTCGGATGTAAGTAGGCGTGTGGTGTGTTTCAGTGTGTGGCTACACTTGGGTATGCGTAGGTATAGGCTTTTGTAAAGTCTTCTTTCAACATAGATAGAGAGGTATTATGTCGATGTTGAAGATGACGTGGATGTCGATGTCGATGTGGATGACGATGACGAGGATGAGGATGAGGAGAGAAGACTAGCAGCTTGAACAAATGCACACAAGGCGTAATACTGCATCATTTGTTGTGGTATACCATTATCACTACTGTTATTATTATTATTAATATTATTGTCATTATTATTGCTATTACTACTATTATTACTGTTGCCGTGTAGTTCATCACCATCATTCACTAACCCATTGGAATCATTACCAAGTGTTTGAAATTTTTTTAAATAATTGTATACAAATTCTGATTGGGATAATTTATTGATTTGATCAAAAGGATTATTCATATTTGCTGTATGATTACTGTTTATAGTTGAATCATTTCTGTTTGTATCCAGTGTATCAGTTAATATACTACTATTATTAGTAGTAGTATTATGATTACTACTACTATTACTACTACCATGATTGTTAGTAGTAACATGCATATTAGTTGTCCCATTGATAGGCAATTTTAAACTTGACTCATTTCCTTTCAAATGAGCATAGTTCAACAGGATATTTTTCATATCTGTATTCGCATTCTCAGTGGAACATTGATAGTTGGATAAATTCAATAAATTCGCCGAATTGATTAGATCATTGGCTAAGAGGTGGTGGTTATGAGTAGCACTGATAGAATTCTGTGTTGATGATGAAGACACTGTTGAAGTTATCGGGGGGGTTGATAATTTAGGCAAAGCGAAATTGTTGAATTCTTGTGAATTTGTCTGCAGTCGGCTTAAAAGATACTCCCATAGAATTGTGTTACTTTTTAAATGAGATGATGTGGATGATAAAGGCATTTCATTGAAAAGTGTTTTCTGTATATCAGGATATTGATTATTCGATTGATCCTCGTGTGAACGATTCAAATCTGCATTAGAAAAAATAATTTATAAAAAAGACGATTATTTAGATTAAATCAGCATTATAACAACAAGTTGATATTGGCTATTAGATAATTCATTGAGGAGTCCCCCATTCTACTTTCAAATAAAAAAGTAGTATAATTCTTCAATGCCTTTTGAATCTAATTGAATTTTAGATTTTCCTGTCGATTGATTGGACCGAAGTGCTCGGTCTCAGATTGACATGTCGGCTTCTTGTGCAGATGCTTCGACAATGCTTGGGCATGTAATTAGAAGTTAATTTGTGGATGGTGACTAGCAGTGGAATCCAGGATAATGCGCATTTCTTCCTATTTGGGACTCGTTGCACAAGAGGTGGCTGTCGCGGCCCAAGTGGTCTAGTGGATAAGGCTTTGGCTTTGGAAACCATGGGCGCGGGGTTTGAGCCTCGGTGGGAACATTATCACTCACTGGGGAATGCAGGTACATCCAGCTGGAGGACGAGTCCCAAATAGGACGAAATGCGCTAGTCACCATCCACCAATTAGCCTTTTGAATCTATTTACTTCTCATCTCAACAACCACTTGTCTTTCCATGTAGTTGGCGATGTGTCTCATCTATTGTATGAAGGCTAATGATACCATACTATCTGGCTCCGTATACCTCTGTAGGTGGAGCAGTGTTCGAACCCATGGCCCAATGGTTGTTAGTTCACCAACTAGATAAGTGAGTAACACCTCCACTCTAAGCTCATGCGTTAAACACTAATTTAGAATTCAGTTTTAGATAAACGCACTTAGTAACTAGCTATCAGCTGGTTGGCATGACAGTCAAATCTTCAAAAGCTTTGGAGAAAAGCCTTCGATCCAAACAATATGTACCGATGATAAGTGCAAGATCTCATACCTAAGTTTTCGAACATCTGTTTATCCTAGTAGTCTTGTTAAACCACAGGTAAAACGAACAAATTAAACAGATATTAACCACTCCTACCCTTGATATTTACAGACTAACTCCTTTAAAAAATAGTGAATTTATACACCATTAAGAAGTTAACACTATATAAATTTTAAGCGAAAACTGCGTTTAAATCTAAAAACTATCCAGAAGTAGTGAGCATATACAGATAAACAAGGAAAGCTACTTCGACTCATTGGAAATTACAAAACTAACCTGTTCTTTCACTAATTTGAATGACATTTGTTAAGAAATACATATTCAAGAGTTGCTCTGTAAGGATTCGATTTTCTTTTTTTGAGTTTGACTATGGATTGGTATCAGTTAGAGAACCATTGAAAACCATCAAGGAGTACTGGACAGCAGTACGCATCCACTGGGGTTCGAACCTAGGACCTTCCGCTTACAAGCAAGCTCGTGTACCATAGGCCATTGAGTCAGGTCCCAGTGGCTGAATAGTATACGAGTTCGCCTTGTAACCAGAAGGTCCTGGGTTCGAACCCTAGCGGTGGGTGCGTACTGCCAATGATTCCCCAACTAGGCTGAGGAAACAGCTGTCCAGTACTTTAGTGCTGGTTTTAAATGGCTCTCTAACTATTACCAATCCATGGTCAAACTCGAAAGAAAAAACAAATACACATATTTCAACTCAGATTTCGTCATGAACCAGTATCAATCAGAGAATCATTCAAACCAGGGAACACTGAGGAGTTGTTTCGTTCTATTTCGAAACTTTTCAGCAGCGCGCACCCACGACCTCATCATGTATCGAACCACTGGGTTTGCGTCGAATGACTAGTGAAATCTAACATCTGACAACTCGTGATCTACATTGAAATTAAGCCGAATATGTGTATATCTTATCACCTGAATTTCTCAGAAGTGTCTAGACTACTGTTAAGTAAAGATAGTTATGGAGAAACAGACAAGTCTCGAAAAAGTGACCTGTAACTTTTATATTTCTCACTTTATAGATAACCAATTAATTTGACAATGCTCAAAGGAACTCATTTTCTGGTTTATAACTACAGATGAATACAAGGTAAATATTTACTACATCAGTTACTTTCACAAATGAAATAAAGTTGGTTAACAGTGGGATTGAATAATCAGTTTAGTCGCCCCAAAGTATCTATAATTATGCATGACGCTATATATTACTGATTGACTGGAATGAGTAGTTGGACACCACTCACATCAACCAGATGTTATCGAAGTGATCTAAACACCAGAAGACCATTTCACTCATTTCGGACTGGACTTATTAGTGGTGTACAAGGTTTAACTAAACCAGTAGGGTACAGCAGATCGAAGGTGAGGACAGTTACTCATCGAAGACATTGATAGATGGTAGTGCTATATTGTGAATTGGCAGAAGTTGGAATTCATGGACTGGCCATTGGATTGGGTCGCAATGGCTGAATGTTCTACGAGCTAGCTCACTTCGTAACCAGAAGGTCCTGGGTTCGAACCCCAGAGGTGGGGTGAGAACTTATGAAGAATCCCAGACTATATTGACAAAACAGTTGTTCATTACTCCAGGGTTTTCCAATGGTTCTCTAACCGATGTCAGCTCATGATGAAATCCTCCAACCAATCAAACAAAAAAACCCTTCAAACTCATATTTGTAAACTCAAAGGCCTGTTCGCTTCAAGCCCCCTGATTTCTGTCTACCTACACAGATGAAATGGTAAAAAATTGAACCATTGATGAGCTTGGTCCCAAAAGAGCAAAACGTCCATTCAGTGTTTGCATCACTTAGATCAGACTAGTACCTACTACTGGATGGTGTGAATGGTATACTACTACTACTCATTTCAAACAATCAGTAGTATTTGGTTTCATGCTTTCTTGATTACCATTTATAGTATGAAGCATATGACGTTATTATTATTGTTTCCTTTAATTCCTAGAGAGGCATAGGGCCTTAGCCAAAAGTCTTCATTCCGTTCGGTCCTCTGACAACGTTTTCACCAAGCTCCACGTCTGCCTGCATGCTTTCATCTCCTCTTCACATGACCTCCTCCATGTCACCCTTGCACTGACGACCAACTCGCCGCTTCCCTTTCAGTCGGGTTCCACTCGAGCGATGGCTTGGCGTGTGATATTACTTGATGGTTTTCTCAGAGTATGGCCAATCCACCTCCATTTCTTCCTGAATATTTGTTGCACAGTTGGTTCCTGGTTGGTTTGCTCCCAGAGATCTCTGTTGCTGATCTTTTCTGGCTGGCCATCTGATCTTGAATATTGAGCGAAGGCAACTGTTAATGAAAGTCTGTAGTTTGTTTGAGATGCTCTTTATGACGCGGAGTGCAAGTCTCCGATCCGTATAGTGAGTAGCACTGACTGACTTCATATTGGAGTTGAAAATCCGGATGTCATTTTTGATGCTGAGTGCTGTTGACCTCCACACAGACTTGAGAGTAGTGAAAGCTTGTCTTGCTTTTCCGATCTTCGCTGCTTTGATATCCTCGTCAGTTCCGTCCACCTGTAGTTGAAACGATGCTTCCCAGGTAGGTAAAAGAGGTTGTTTCTTTCAGGTTCCTCCATTTATGCTGATTGTTGTCTGCTGCTGTTGCTGCTGTTGGTGTTTGCCAGGAGTCTTCATCACCTCTGTCTTTTCCATGTTCACCTGAAGTCCTATCTTTGATGCTTCTTCTGCCAACTTGTTGATTTTCGCTTACATATCTTCCAGTTTTTGGGAAATCAGACAGATATCATCGGCGAAGTCCAGATCCTCCAAGTTTTTGTGTGAGTCCATTTTATGCCTGTTTTCTCATTGCCCGCTGTTTGTCGCATTATCCAGTCTACTGCAATCAGGAAGATCATTGGCGATAGTAGGCAGTCTTGTCTTACTCCTGTTTTCAATTCGAAAGATTCCGTGAATTTCTCGTTGTGGATTACTTGGCATGCAGCATTGTTGTACAACTGTTGGATGAGATGCATAATTGTTGGTGGCACACCGTAGTAGCGAAGTAGTTGCCAAATCACCTCTCGATCGACGCTGTCGAAGGTCTTTTTAAAGTCGATGATGTTGAGATAGAGAGGTGACTGCAGATGACATACTGTGATCTAAATAATTTCGGTTTCCAAAAGAAAATGTGGTAAAAGAATAAACTCTACCTCATACTGAGAAAATCACGAATTCATTCTGTCTATAATGATCTCTAGAAGTACTGTTGGCAAACGAAGGATATTTACTGAAGTATATATAGTTATAACACAATGGTGAATACATGTGTTAAAAAACAACAGTCTGATAACTCCTTCATCTGCATTATTAAACAACCACTTAATGATAAACACGGAATTTGAAACTGTCGTCTTTTCAAACACTTCAAATTATTTAACCACACACACACATAGAGAAAAAGGCACAAACTACTCTTGGGATATTTTTGTTCTACTTCAATCAGCCATTTATTTTATTTGTTGAAAAAAACAACAACCAATTTTTAAAACAAAACACTTCATAAACACACACATAATTGTTTTCAAATTCAAGATCTTTTTTATTGCATTGAATTCGGTGAAAATTTTAATCTCCTCGTCTTACGCATACACACACCTATGAATACAGGAAACGTTTTAGTGATAAAGTGGTTTAACACATGAAATTTTAATTGAAAATTAGTTAAAAATGTCATTCAACAGAACACTTTCTCCGCATTGCACTCCACCTCACCCACCCCCGAAATTCACCTCTGAGTAGAGAAAACAAACAACATTAATTCCTATCGACACTCACACTTCTCTATGCTCAATCGACTAATAAAACAAAAACACAATTGCTATTTAAATAATAATTAATAAATAATAAATAAAAAAATAAGGAGAAGTCGTTTTAGAAATTAAAAAGGCCTTGTTCGCCAACCAAAAACACAAACAAACAAAAAATTGTTCGACAGGAATGCTTGACGGAGCAGTGAAGTACAGAAATCTACATTGAAAGATCTGTCGATCAGTTATTTTAAAAGGAAGTTATGTGATAATTGACTGTGAATTGGGAGGTTTTAGACAAACTTCACTTCACTGCTGCTTACTTACAATAAAAACAGACGGAAGAA